GGGGCCATTCTGAGCAGAGCTAGGAGTTGGACTTTGATGATCCCTGTGGGATGCTTCCAATTCAGGATATTCTATGATTCTATAAACTCATTTAACTCAAAAAAATCCAGGTGTTTGCATTTATTTCAAGACTAGGGTTGCTTTGGGAATTCTGATTTATATCCTTTCATTATTCTTCCTTAGTTGAAGCTGTTGGCTCTGTCCAGCAACTGAGTTGGCTTAACTGAGTTCTACTCCTGTTACTTGCTTTACAGTAAGCTCTGTCCTTTGTCTTTGCTTAGGTATTGCAGGTTACAGCCACACACATGGCGTCTCCTGCATCCTTCTGAAGACTATAAATCTGTCTTCAGATTTTTAACATTTTTGTTAAATTTTAATGCAAAAGCTGAAATGCACTTTTAAACTGTCCAGCAATGTTTTTGTTAACAATTTCCAGTATCGTAAGAAAAAAAACCAGAAAAATAAAAGCTACCTAAGAGACCTACTAGTTTTCGGATAGCAAAAATAAACTGCCAAAATTGGATTTGGGATTTCAACTTTATAAAGTTATTATGACCGGTAAATTAAAGTTATATTTTAATTCTGATTTGGTCATGCGGCTCTGAGAAGTATCCTGGCCTTGTCAGGCAGCATGGTGAAATGTCTCAGGCCTAACACTTTCACGTTAGATATCTGCCTCTGCTGCCAAGTGACACTGCCCTCCCTGTACCTCACAGCCACTTTTCTCTCCGGGCAGCAATGCTGCCACAGGGATATCAGTGTGCTGAGCAACTGTGTAACATCAGCTGGTCAAGTAACAGCAAGAGTACTTAGAATCTGCAAATAACAACGTTACCCTTGCTACTGATCAGAACTTCAGTAAAAGACTAGAAACGATGCAACAATTACCAATAATTTCTCCTAACTATGATTCTACTAAAGATAACAGACTGAGGCTAGCCAGGAAATAAAACTGTCCTGATATCAAATCTCCCCAAAAGTTACAGTCTTGAAGCAGTTTCTTAAAAGAGAATTTTTAAAATCTTTTAACATAATTAAGTAAACAATTAAATTTATAAGTTATTAGAGAAAGATCACCACTACATCTTTGAAAAGGAAGACCTGTATTTGTCATAAAAAGAAATATATCCTTGAAGCATATCTGTTGTAGCTTAAAAAGAAATCTATTCAGGTTCTGTTTTAAACTTTGAATATTTAAAATTAAGTTCTCTAGAATTCTTTGCTGAGATACCAGGAAAGCAGCAAAGCTACTTGTCATTACTGAAGAATGCAGAGACATGATGGAGAGCTGCTGTAAATAACCAGACATCGGTAACTCGCATCAGCTAAAGACTATTAGGTTAGCTACTCTTTCTCCCCCTCCACCTCTTTCTCTTAAGGAATTCACATTTCATTAAAAAAGGCAACACCAGGAAAAGAGAAACAAACAAAAACAGTATGCCAAGGAAAATTTAACACAGTTTTCACTCCAACACTTCTAACACCAGGCAAATAACTTCAGGAAGAAGCACAAGTAACTAGCTGAAGCAGATACATAGAATCTAAACCATTTCAACTCTGCAGGGATTTCAGCCAAAGGTTTGCAACATCGCTGTGGTCATATCTGCAACGTTGGAGTTCCTCACATACCTAGTAAAGTCCTCCACTGATTTTATGGCTGTTCAACATATCTGGCTACAACACACATGTATACTGAGGTCTCACTTCAGCAAAAACTCCTCACTGGACCTTTAAACATATTACAGTAGATTCATTTAATCTTAAATACAGCATCTGAGTTTACAGAAGAACAGGTGAGTTGTGTTCAGAACGTGTGTGGTAAAAGCTGTGTTGCTGCCATTTGGAAAAAGAGAATCCCACAAAAAACCACTAGCCAATCAGAAGACACATTCTATTAAGATCCATTTGAAGAACAATCAATTAGCAAGACACCAGCAATATATTCCAGATTTTGACTTCCTCAGTGGTCAGTCAATAATTAAATACTGAACTATTTTAAAGAAACTCTATCATATTTGTGCATATGAAGTTATTCTGTTCTTTTAGAAGAGAAAGAGCAGTTGAATTTTGAACCTCTTTACTACACTCTTCAAATTGAGATCTGTTTAAGGAAAGAAAACCAAACCAAGCAAAAACAGACCAAAAACCACAACACCAAACCCCACAATTTTGTTACAGTTTTGAAATCTAGAAACAAAGTGTTTATATATTTGAGATACTTTTTACATAAACAAATTGATACCGGTTAGCTTCAGAAGAAGTTTTTAATCCCTCAAACTATATATGGATTAATAAGTGTTGCACATGAATAAGTCATGCTTTTCATTTTAACAAAAGTCAATATAAAATACCTACTGTGGTCTACAGGGACTTACTGTAAGTAACAAACAAAATACACTGGTCCAATTTTATCCCTATTAGAACTGAAATCAATTTAACAAATCATTTCAATGAAGCAAAACCCAACCCCCTCCACAATGCTGAGAGAGTACATATGAGCCTTCAAAATCTGTTCACGCATATCATGACTTGAACTCACTAAATACCCTTCTTCTGCCTATATCTGTCATTGTATAGCATCAAGTCTGTGATGACATATTTTTAAAATCAGTGCCTCCATGAATGTTCATTCCTTGTATTTTGATTTCATTTGTAGGCATCAAATAATATCACTACCTCAGAGAGAGCTGTAATGACATGTTATTCACATCCTCCATCCACCTCACGAAGTTTGCATATCTTCATTATCCAGTATTGGCCATAAGCTCTCATATGTCAATGACTATACTAGTCAACCATTCAAAATGATGCATCTCAAAGTAATTTGTGTTTTGGAGTGGAAAAGTGGAGTGTAGAAAATAACTTCTTTAGAAAGAAAACACTCATAACCCTCAAAGATTTACCAGAAAATAGAAAATAACAACCTTGCTCCAAAACTGTATAAACAAAATAGAATTTATAAATAAATAGGCATTTTATTTACATTCATGCAATAGCCTATCTGTTACAACACTCATGAGTAATGCAGCTACCTTAAGCCATACAACCAAAGTATTTTCACATATCTGTTGTTGACATAGCAAGGTACTGCAGGGTATTCACAAAAATGTAAATAAATAAATACTTGATGGCAAGCAAGAAATATCAATGTTTCAATTTTTTTCTTTACATTGTTTGAGTAGGCTGTGGGAATAAAAATAAGTAGTTCAAATGGGAGGGAAATCCTCAGAAGAACATGTATTCATACCACACTGATTACCGAGAAAGCTTTTCACACAAATGCTGCAGGATTATTGAAGATTACAATTGTGACAAAACCCTGTCTAAACAAAAATAGTAATAAAAAACCCCCACCACAACAACAAAAACCAGCAAGCAAACCACACACAAAACAAAGGTTTTGCACTTTCAGTCTTCAAACAAGTTAATGCTTATTTTCCTTGTCCACGATAATATTGTATGATTTAAAATACAGGTATCTGAACATGCTATCAGAACAGGAGTTAGCTATCAAACTGTTGACAGATTATTCCCCCCCCCAATTAATACTAATTAATTTGATCATAGATATCAACATGTAAGCACATGTACCAAAAACCTGTTACAAAAGCCACAGCTCTGATTTCTGTGCTTTCTATGTTTTAGCTGTACTGAGATAAGATACTGACCTTTCTTTTTGATTCACAATGGGAGAATACTCCACTTACAAGCTTACTACTGTGAAGCCTTGTTGTCAGTGTGAAGAATCACAAAAACATGTGTTAGAAGGCAGATAGGATTCAATACCTTTCTCAACATTTGAAATGTGATATTTCCAACAGATAAGCAGTTCTTTTCATTTCCACGAAGTATAAACAACTCCAGTTTAAGATTTCACAAAGAGGAATAAAATACTCTGCAGGTTAGGGGGAAGGGAGGGTAATACTCCATGAATTAGTTGGTAAAGGACCTTTTTTCAGGTTACATCTTTAAAGGACTCTACTATGCCATCTAGGATTTTCATGTAATAAAGGCAATTTATCCTTGTAATCAGACCATTTCTATTCAAAGAAACTTCAGGTGGTTGTACCACAAGAAATATTTTTATGTGCATCTTGAAGTCAATGTGACTGTGATTGCAAATTATTCACAATGTAAAGAATGGCAGACTGTTGCATTATGCAAGCCCATCCACACTCTTTTGCATCCCTGTAAATGCAGCTACTTTCCTGTCTTGACTGTACTGCACACTGTAACAATGGGTTTCACCTAATAAGCTATTCAGGAAACTCTAACACTGCATGCAGGTCATCTCAACCCATTTCCTTGCTGTTACAAGTAACATGAAAAATGCTTTCAAACATCACACTTAGAAGCACCTTAAATTCTCATAAAATATTCACTAGAGCTATCCACAGTATCAGTTCCATTCTGGTATCAAACATACTTAGTTAAGTCATGTACTACTGCTGCAGGAAGAGATGTCTTGAAGGAAATATCTACACCATATAAATTGAGTACGTTCAAAGTCCCATGCACGAAGAAGAAAAAGAAGGGGGGGGTAAGGGTGGATAGGGTGTAGGAGAGGGAAATCACAGCTAGAATAAAAAAAAAAAAAGGCAAGCTATTTTCTTTTAGCTATTCTAGACCTACACTGTAATCACCGTGAGATAAATGCTCTAACCTCCATCTGCACCATCCCAATCTTTCTCCTCCCACATCAGTGCTGAATTCGCTGGAATAGAAGAACGAATTAGCCAAGAATGTTAAAAACTCTTTCCAGTTAGGAAGAGACTTCATGTGGTTTGGAACAGTACTGACATCCCATTTGCATCGTATTTGACCAGTATGGGACCTCTAAGTACCTCCTTTCTCTACCATTTGGGAAATGCCATGCCCAATTACTGGAGCAACACTTTTCTTCTGAAGCCCCAGCTGGTAGACAGATAGCCTAACGGAGTACCTAGACAGAAGTCTAGAAAGAAACAAAAAAGAGGGAAGGGAAAAAGAAGCTGGCTTACGTGCTCCAGTTTGTCTTTCCTCCTCAGCCAGACACTGGCACTGTAGTCCTGCTGCTTGACAGTGCTGTAGAAGTTCGCACCTACTCTGGTAAGGCTTGGAGAAGGCTCCCTGGGTCTGCTCTTCAGTCTCATCTGCTCGAAGCCCTCATGGGGGGATGAGGAGAGCCAGTCATGCCTGACTTCCATCTTGACATGACAAGGCAAAGTCCAAGGAAAATATCAAGAAATTAAGAGGCACTAGACGAAGATGGTCCAAAAAGGAACAGAATGGGGGAAGAAGAAAGAGAAGGAAATAAAAAAAACCCAAAAGCCTAAAAATGGTAAAAGAAGGGGGAGACAAGGAGAAATAACAAGGTAGGAGGAGTGGAGGGAGAAGAAAAGGCTGTAGGTACGAGAGAGGAGCGGACTGGGAGAGATGAAAGGGCACTCGGGAAAGAAGGCGCTCCAAGATGCCGCTGCTTGTTGCCCTCCCCGCCAGCAAGCTGCAGTCCAGGACCGACGCAGCGGGAAGCGGCTGCGTGCGGCTGTGCCCGGGACGGCGGCGAGGGGCGGCGCGGCCCCGGCAGCCGAGGCCGGGCGGGGCCGCCGCCTCCAGCCCGCCTGCAGGTTGGCGCAGTGGAGGGGCCGCCGCCCGCCCGGGGATGAGCCCGGCTCCTCCCCCGCCTCCCCCTCCCCGCAGCCACCTTCGGGGAAGCGGCGAGCGGTACGGGAGAGCGCTTCCCTTTGGAGAGGAGCCGCTGCCTCCCCTGCCCGCCCCCCGGGGGACAGGACAACCCCCGCTCCCTTGGGGAAGTTCACTCAAACCCTCTCCCCCCCGTCCCGGCGGGTACCGACCCGCCCGCTCCCCGCCGCGGGGCCGGGCAGCCGGCTGCCACTCCCTCTCCTCGAAGCCTTTGTCCAACCTCCCCTGCCCGGAGGCTCCCGGGGCCGCCCCGCACTGCCCTGCCTGGGCCGGGCGGGGGTGCGCCCGTGTCCCCCGCCGCGGCGAGCGGGAGATGCGGGGCTGCGGGCGCTGGAGCCACCGCGCCGGCCTCTCCCGCAGCACTTCTCCGTCACCGTGTCCCCTCCCTCCATCCTCCCTGGGCAGGGTCTCCCGGTGCTCTCAGGCGTAACCTGACCGAGCTGCCCATCTTTGCCCCGGGGCAGGAGGAGCGCACCTCACCTGGCCAGCAGGCGAAAGCCCCGGCCCGGTTCCAGGTCTAGGTCCGAGTCCCGCCTGGAAGAACTCGCCCCCGCAGCGGCTCAGCCAGCACCAGACCTTCCGTGGTCAATCAAGTCCCTTCCGTGGTCCCCATGGACCATGTCGCTGGGACGCCCACACTCGTAGATACCTGACACCTAGTATTTCTCGAATAAAACAAAAGATCTTTTTGGGGTGGTTTCTGTAGTCCGCTGCCATCCCTTCTGATAGAAGTTGGTGTGTGTTGCTATTTAGCTCAAACGTGTTTCAGTAGAAAAAAAGGACTTTCCTTTTTCACACTATGAAAAGCCACCTCGCTAATTGCCCACACACTCTGCAAAGCTATATTAGGCACAGACAAAAAAACTTTCTCACATAGTGCACCAAGAAATATTTACTGGAGCTCAGAACAACATTTCTGGCCAGTATTTGCTGTCAGGCAACTGTTTGCACGTATTACAGTCCTTTGGAAACAGGTACCTCTATGGGCATATAGAACCGATACACATGCATCTGCAGAATTTTTTTTTTTTTTTTTTTTTTTTTGCTAGAGAAGTAAACTGATGTAGCTATTCAGATAAAGGGATATTGAACTGGAAGTCCACACTCGAATCCAGTTAACTTGAAAATAGTCTTTGAATGGCAAAAAGTTCAGCCAGACAAATTTGTGAGGACATTGTTGAAGAGCGCTCTGCTACTTGATCTGGAGCGAGCTCTACTTTCATTTGATCAGAAAGCAAATATAAAATATCCTTATGATAGGACTCAAGGTGTATTACTGCAAAATATCAGCCAGAAATCCAAGAGATACTGAATTTTTTACTTTTCATTTCCTAAGGATAAAGGCAAAACTCACACCTCATAATTGAGGATTATTATTAATAGGTAATACTAGTATCTTCATGAAATATTGGAAAAGTAAACCAAACAGTAGCAGGAGTTTGTTAGGAACACAAAGTACAGTATTTTCTTCTAAAACTAGAAAGGCAATTTCATAATACTTACCTAAATACTACAACAAAAAATGATATAACAAAACAGCAACAACCAGAGCCAACAATGCCATATGTAAATAACTTTTAACTCATCAGAATAAATTATTTGCAGCTTGCTTTCCAGTAACTTTAGTTTTTTTAGGTCGTAAATCCAGGTATTTCCAAGATCATCAATACAACCTCAAAATACCTGGAGCAAAAATTAGATACCCACCGTACTCTGCCCCCTCCCCTCATGTGTCCTGCTGCGTTCAGGACACATCTGAAGGCACTGAGATTTAATGTATGGCATATCCCAGCTGCAGCAGTTTTTAGCTCACACAGAATAATTTGATTAAAAGCCTGCTGAACTGAACTTAAGCTGCAGATCTCCATTCGTGATTTGTATTTGCTCATAGATACACCTACTATCAAAGAAATGGAATAAATCAATAAATTCAGGGGAAAGAAAAGCAAAGCAAAGAAAAAAGAAACTAAAAGAAGCCTTTGATTTTCTTCAAATATACCATGAGGTGTACATATATAGAGAGAGAGATAGATATGATGTTCTTAAAACATCTGTGCTGTAAATAAGAAGAGCCTGCTTTATGTTGGCTTTGCATAAGAATTTTCACATTGTTTCTATAGCAATATATAAAGCTCTTCAACCTTTTCTTTATTCGTCTGATCTTTCTTGTTTATGCTGCTTGCAAATATTTGAAAAGTTGTTAGTGTGACTCTGCGGTTGCCACCTGCCTTCCTCATTACTATAACAGACCAGAATCAATATGCCACCGTACTTCAGTACAAGTCATTATCTCATTCCTCCATTATATTGTGTTAAGATTTTTTTAAGATATATTTTAGCATTTTAGTAGGGTTAATTTATCTTACCTTTCCTAGCTGCACTACCAGCAGCCTTCCCAACAGCCAGATGAACTTATTTCTGTCTATCCAGAACAGTCAGAAAATGGAGTCCTGAAGTTGCTTTCAGCCCCTAGGCTATAAAGAGGGCTTGCTCCTTTTTCCAAACACCTACTTTTTCATGTAGGTGTGCTGTATGTACTTTTCTACTACTACTGCTGCCAACATTAATATTATTCCAGTACTATTCTCATTAGGAATGAGAGAGAAAAGGAGAAAAAGCAGCCTGGAACAAGTCTTCTAAAAAAATACTATCAAGCTATGCTTTCAAAGCCTTTGTTGCTTCCTAACTTCAAGCAGAAGAGATTTTTAGTGGGAAAACATAATCTAATGTCTATACATATTTGTGTTTTCATAAAAATTTTACTCAGGCAAAGTAATAAGCTAAGAATACAATGTCAGTCCCTAGTGAATGCATGGCCATTAATCTAATCTGAAAATAGTTTAAGAGCTGTTTTGCGGATTTTATCTTCCAGTTTATTTCCAGTTTAGATCTATGCAAAAAACCCCAGTTCTGTTCAAACAACCACAAGCATATCAACCAACTTAATTCAGAGATAATTCAACTCATTAAAATTCAATCAGTTCTGTAGTAAATCAGCAATTCCAATTGGCTGTATGAGCTGGATTAAACTGCTGTCTTTCTCTTCCATGCAATTTTCAGAATTACCCAAACACCTGCTCCTGTCAAGTCCCTTTTCTTCCACAACCAGATGACTACAGCAGCAAGGATGACTGAAATTACAAACATCACACTTACATAATTAGTAATAGATGCCAACCATGCATATCATAACATGATTTTACCATACCATGGTTCATGCTACAATTTCTCTAATTCGCTGCCCATCTTAACAATCAAGACTCAGAGAAATTCATTTGAAGCAATCTACAGAATTTTCCATTTTCTATACCATGACGCTCTATGGATGCTGTATAAATGCTGCAGGGGGCAGAGTTAACTCAGGCCAGTGGGGAGAAAATCAGGGTGTGAGTGGAAATATGTAGGTAGGGCTACAAGAGATTTATTTTTTTAAAAAAAGATAGCATCTTTTTCCTCCAAAAATCTTATCCAGGCAAGTTTTAAGGGACCTGCTGCCTGTGCTCCAGGTTTCTAAACACTTCTCTTTTTTTATGAAAGGGTTCTAACAATACAGCACATATACAAGAGCACCAGACCTTTTATCAGCAAATTGCATACACTTACAGCTATAAAAACTCCTATAGCAAAACTTTATTATGGCTGCACAGCTAATATACACTCATACCTGTAATAGATTCAAGGCCTCCTTACAAAATACTAATTTCTGCTGCAGAGCTGGACTGCAGACAAGCCCTGGCCCACTTTTCAGAATTTACTACACCTGACCAAAACAGCAGGCAGCAATTGCCTGCAGGCTTCAGCTGATGTCCAGTCAGGGAGCTGTGACTGACATCAGCTTCAGCAGCAATGCTGGCCTGGCAGCCAGGCGGGAAGGTAACTCTCAGCTTCAGCTGAACTTGCTTTCTCATCTAGGAATTACCAACAACACTCAACTGGGGAGACCTTTTTAATCTCCCAATAGCACTGGCATGGCCCTAATTAAATTACTTATCTTTAAAAAAACTTTTAGAATTACCAAAACATCAGCTCCTTCTCAGCTCCCCAAATTCTAGCAGTCTACCAAGAAAAAGCCCATTGCAGTGGTCTGTCTTCTCTATGCTGACAAGCTTGCCATGTCTCCCAGCCTATCCACTACTGCCTTCTGGAAGCAGCTGCCAATCACTTAAACATGGGTTTGCCATAGGGAAGGACCTCAAGGGTGTGGGGGGGCGAAGAAAGGAAAAAAAGTGATTTTTTTCACTATAGTGCAATCAAACACAGGGTCAGAATAGTAAAACTTACTAGATGTGAAGTAGGAAAAATGTAAGAGAAAAGCTAAAGTGCTACGTGGAGATTTGTAAATGATTTCTGCATTGTTGCTTTGCCAAATTCTGTGCAGCATAACACGAAACCTTTATACAGAATATCTGTCTCTTTGGTTTATGGACAGGAACTGAAGTCACCATTATATAATGTCAGGGTCAAAGCTCAGGGTAAAGTGAAGCTTTGGAGTTGGAGGTGCTTCAGATTTCAGGTTTTGAACGTATCAGACACCTACCTCAGAAATAACATGGAAACATTTTCTAATACTGATAATGTTCCCTGCTTTTACCTCCCTATGTCTTTCTGAATTCAACTGTTGACCAATCTCTTCTGTGTCTCTTGCCTGAAATTTAACCCTGAACTCTTTCTTCTTTGCATGATCACTGACTCAAAATAAACCAAACAAAACCCAAAAAATCCACAAATATCACACAACCAACTAACCAACAGAACACACACCAACACATAAAACAACCACCTGT